TGTTGAAAGCCCGTACAGACGTCAGCACCTGGGACATCCGATAAAAGGTTAAAACCTTCTGCTTCTCTTCTGCCTGGTCACCACGGCTTTGCAGGCCCATTTACAACTTGGATTTTCATGAAAAGTTCGAAGGATTGTCCATTAACAAGCTAAGGTATGTACTTGGGGTCCTACAGGGCTTGTTTAGAGCCTTATCGTGCAAACAGGACAGGCATGTGTCAAGTACCTTCAACACCTTTGGTCCAGTGCTACCTAAAGACAGGACCATGGCACAGGTCCGGGCAGTCTGCTCTGCAAAACAGCTGAGCTCCTTTCCCTTTTCATTCAATAGGTTGCTGGCAGCAGTTCCGTTTAATGTTGCAATATTCCCAGAACCTACAACACACGTAAAACACTTTAGAATTAAACTTCTACTTCTAATTAAGGGGGAGGAGTGCCTGTTGTTTTAGCAGAGCTTTCATGAATGGCTCACTAAGAGTTTCAGTGCTCAGATTTTTTTTTCCTTCCTTAGAAATGTAGTTCAGATCTGCATGAGGACACAGGCTGCACTCAGGAAAATTCACCAGACAATGAGACCACATTGTAATGACTAAACATTAAAGAAACTACAGCACAGAGTCAAGTGGAAACCTGACAATTTGATCAATGCTCGATTACTACCCGAGGGCAGAAGACACCAACAAATAGCTCTGAAGTGGACTGTCTGCATCACCAACCACAGAAAAATAAAACAGGAGAACTGTCTTTTACTAAAGCAGTCCAACTATTTTAGTGTCTACTCTCCCTCCAACCACACTGTTCCTTGGTTTTGTTTTCCCGGTTTCTACTGCTTCCTCTCCCTGTAAATGGATGTGAACAAGGTTTGCCCTGGGGCTGGATTCAGTTTCACTATGGTTCAAGGCAGCATGCCTTTATCAGTGGCTTTACTGTGTTTCGCTCAGTGTTGTGAGTGGTCATCGCCTAGCAACTGCCGGAGGGTTTAGTAAACAAACCCAGCCTGTGATTAGGATTGCAGACTGCTGTATTAATCTTACAAAAAGTTTCCATTTTCCGAACCTCGTTCAAAGCCAGCATCGACAGCCGTGGCCGAACTCTGTCCTTCACGTTTTCGGGCAAAGCAAAACATGACCAGGAACTTAAAAAAAACAATTGGAACTCTCCTCTGCCATCTAATTGGCTGTTCTACAATAAAAGAAAACTTCAGGTTCTGTTAAATATTAGGATAATCACCAATAAAAAGGAGAGCCAAGCCTCTTTGCAACTTTTTATAGAACAGCTTCAATAAACAGGATGAGGGTCAAAGCACAGTGACCGTAAACATAGGGAAACCTGCCACTGGATAGGTATAAATAAATGCCTATCTTATCTCCTTCAGTTCTGTCAGGAAGAGAGGAACAACAAAATAACAGCAAATATAACAGGTTCCAAAATAAAATTCAATATTTGCTTTTTAAATGACTGACAGATTGTAGCAAAGGTGACATGTGCAATTTAAAAAGAATTCACCCTCTATCGGATATCTGGGCAAAAGGATGAAAGGAGGGTCTATCAAGAGCAGCAGCCCTGTGTTTGCTTCAGATCTGTCCAGTTGCAAAGGGCTTTGTTGCACAACATGCAACCAGTTTTTTTTTTTTTTAAAGTCCAGAGGTGGCAACTCCCAAGGCAAAAAGCACACACAACAGTAGCTGGTAGTCAATGAGCACTTGTCAAACAGCAACAGAAAAGAAATAAAAGCAGGTGCATGGAAAAAGTTAAAGGATACATATGGAGAGCTGGCACAATTTTAAACCCACATGCAGAATACAACAGACAAGTAGTTTCGACATTTCTCAGGCTTCAAATAGGATTACAACTTATTTAGGGATTGAAGGAGGGGATTAAATCTGTAGAGCCAGAGAGGCATACAAGGAAGCCTATACTGTTCTGAGTTGAGATTCAAGAATTAAAACTTTAAAATTGGAACATGCGGCTCTCCGTTTTGTAGACGGCTTCTTTATAATCTCTTCATGAAGTAACTTTATATGCTTTTCTAACGAACAGTGTAGGCAGGTTAAAACACGCAAACATTCCTTGGTTGCAAACCATGAATGGATAAATGAGGGGAAAAACTAAAAGCCTCTATGCACACCTAGTACTAAGCAAACTTCAGTTGAACTAAACCCTCTTAACAAAAGAACGATTTTTCCACTGACGTTAGGTCACTCTAAAATGATTTCTAGCTTAAACAATTCTCAAACTGTACAGTTCGTGGTCAAAACTGCAATATTTCCATCCTGCAGGCACGGTGCAGGGACAGTCTCTCCCACAGAACAAGCTAACTCAGGGCTCAAAGTAAACTGTGGTTTATTTGCCACTTTCCCTTTAAAAGACCGCAATATCACAGTTTCAACTGTTAGACGCAACAGGCCATCAAAAACTTATAAAAATGTGAAATGCCAAATCATGAATGAATGCTTTTTTAAGGCTGTCTTTTTTAGTTCAAAGTTCAGAGCCTAACCTTTAAGAAAGTAACTGCACTAACAAACTACGTTGTAGCATGATTTAATGCATATTACCTCCGATTAATTTACTCATTTCTGCCTAATGTCCTATAAATACATTGGCACACGACAAGTTAAAAAACGTTCAATAGCACAGGTGCAACGTTACATCACATAGATCCACGGCATAACACGAGTCTCAAAAGCTTGTTAAGCATTACTGTAAACTTACTGCTAAAGCAACAAAACATCACAGTTGTGACTAGATCAATTTTCATAAATAAGCTCAACTGCAAATGATGTTTCCTGTAAATTGTAGCAGCTGCAAAACACGTGTAATATAAACCACTTTCTACATTACCAGGTCACCAAGCAAACTGTAATGCGCAAGTGTCATTCAGATGGTCAGGGACAATTTAATATCACTGAAGGAGTGAGAGTGCAGTGGATCTTGTTTTGCAGTCAACATTCTATTAACATTAACATACATCTTGACAGAACTAAGGAAATGGCCAAGCTGAGAGAACAGCTGAAACAGAGAAGGTGGAGGTAGCCCGTCTTCTCTCAGGTGTTTAAACTGCACCTGTTTGTGGGCTACAGTGGATCATCTAACCACAGCCCCAGTGGATCCAGCCTAAACTATTAGAAAATGTCTTGTGATCTAAACAGGAAGACCATGAAAGCCCCACAGGACTTTAAGGGCCATGGGTACACAGACCATTTATTATACTTAATTTTTTCATGGGTATTGCAAAAGGGGCAGAAAAGATTTTAAACGAACAGTTTCTTGCCCTCCGTGAAGCAAACACAAGAGACCAAAGCCGAAGACCATCTGGTGTTTCAGATAAGCCGTAGGCTAGGTGGAGGAACTAGACTTAGGGAACTAACTAGGGAAAGAGACTTGGAACACGCTTATTACCCCATTCCACCCTTCAAAACCTGCCTAAACTAATTTGAAGACTTAATTAGGGAACAACAAACCTGAAGCGAAGGTCTCCAAAAACTTCTGTGCGTGTCATTAAAGGTAGACAAACAAATTAGGAAAAAAGCCTGCAACCTGATTTGAAGCACCTACAGAGCCCTAAGAACAGCATCGGAAGAACCCAAAACAAAACTACAGGCACCTTGTTCCTGTTCCCTTACTGTCTGATCAGGTAACGCAACAAAACAAACCAGACAACCACACTCTAATCACCCTTTCACTGAAACCACATTCTGGCTTCATTATCTCGTGGTCTTGCTTTTTAAGAACAAAATCTTTACAGAATTATATATTGGGGAATATGTTTAACAACAGGACTGGGAGAAAGTACATTTCCCCATCTAGTCAAACAGAAATAACAGCGTGTGCGGCCAAACAGATGGGCTTTGCCTGGGTACTTATTGGCTAGGCCAGTCGTCATGTTGTCAAGGTCAAAACTCGTTTGTTGCCAAATGATCACACAGATGATTTCCCAGCACACAGTGCTTATGAGAAATGCCCATCCACAACATTCTCATCTGGTATATCTGAGATCTAAAATCATAAGACACGCTGTAGGCTTGGAACAAACTGCTCTTTTCTTGCCATGCTTTTGTTTTAACCCAACCCATGGTGGACCCAAGCAGCCCCACCCCCCTTGTCAAATCCAAACTTATACCATCAAGAATCAATTTCCTCTTCGTAGTCCCTTTACAGCAGATTTACATCAACACTACAATCTGTAGGTAAAGCTTTTTCTGACTACAGCCCTGTTCACCCAATGATATGCAAAAGCACAACAGTCTGCTTCCTCAGGATTCTTCCAGAAAACGTGCTTCTGAAACGCAACAGCTCGGGGCTGCTGAGAAATTCCTGGAGCAAAGTTTACCATTTCTCTTTCTGAAAAACAGACCCACTTTTGTTCTTGAAACTGCAGGTACTCTGTAGTTCACATTATTTTAACAAAACAACAGCGTCTGCTGCACCCTATCCCCCAACCCATTTCCTACTTCCTGAAGAACGGCCTTCAATCAAGCCCTGGGAATTTCTGAAAAAAAGACTGATAATGTACATGGCTGCACAAATACATCTTAACCCTCCCTGTACAGTTCAGGGTTACGCAAGTCCAATCGGATCATTAAACTAGCAAAGTCTTTATAAACCCAAGAAACTTGTGAGAAGTTTCTGGTGTCCAAGGTCTGTGCAACAGAGCCTGCTGGATTTGCTGTAGAAAACTTAGCTAAAGATTAATGTGCATCTCAATCCAACGTTTTCAGCGAGAATTTTAAATGAGACGCTAATGAATGCAAAACCCTACTTGTTAAAATGGAAGGTTTATTAACACATTCCCTCCCTCCTCCAGGCCCATAAAAACCTTCCTGTCTGGCAACAGCTGAACTGCCAGTCACACCATTGACTTTCCTTTTAAGCTGCTGACAACACAGGGAAGACAAGGTCAGAAAAAGTTTGAGCTATCAACCACTCCTTAGCATTCGGAAGCAGGGGGGCAGGGCAGGCAGAAAACAGAAAATGCAGCTTTTAAAGTTCCAACTACCTACCTTTGTTTTTTTGTTCAATGGCCTGAAAACAAAAAGAAAAACAAGTTTAAGAAGTCTGTTGCAAATGAAAGGGGGGAAAAAACTGGGAAAACCTCAAAAGACAGTCATATGGCGAGGCAACATTACTGCAGGTTAACTGGACTCTGGTGCCCTCTGAAATCTCAAGGGCAAACTGACACAGCCCTTACACTGCTGAGCACAGGCACAGAACTGCTCACAAATGCAGATGACAAGAAAAGCTTGGCAATGCCGTGCTGTCCTTTTAAAGGGGAGTGTTTTTTTTTTTCAAGCACAGGGCTTCAAACCAAAGATCTGTATAAACATGCAAGTTTTATCAGAAAAGCAGGGTTCACACAAAGCCTTCTCTATTTGGCAGGAATCTAGCCTTTAAGCCAGAAGAGCAACCCACCTTCTTTAAACCAGCGTCCTTCTTTTTCTTGTCGTCTTTTCTCTTTTTCCTTTCTTCCATCAACTGTCCTTCCTTTTCTTGCACTATATCCCTAAGGAAGGGAAAAAGAATGTCATCGTTCGCTGTACCCAGGCTCCATTTCTCCACAATTACCAAGGCAAAAAACACAGCCCACCCCCTCAAACCACTGCAAGTTCCCTTTTAGTATAACAAAGTACTTGATGCAGTAACGCAATTAGAAAACAGGGAAAGCTCCCCCTAATCTCCTTAAGGGATTACACTGCTACGAACTGCTGAATTACAACTCTATAAACAGCTACTCCTGTAGGGCAGACCTCTCTCTCTTTGGTTTCACAGAACAGAACCCTCAGAAACAAACTTCCCAAAGGTCCATCTCTGGAGGGAACTTCTAAAAAATGATTCCCACTCAAATTAGGATCACTGGTGAATCTGATGAAACAGATCACGATGCGTTTCTATACTTTCTCAACAATAAAATGTCCAAACCACACCTGTGATCGGACCACAGAGCTCTTTCGTATACAAACAAAATTTGTAAAGGAGAACCAGAATGTGTCTTAACCTTGACAGCAAAACCCTGAAATGGCAGTAGAGACTGAGGAAAAGCTGGGAATCCTGACCCACTCCCAACATCTATGGCTTTCAAGACTAATCTGAATCCTGGAATCCTCATATCTGTAATAACCAATTCACAAAGTGTGCCACTCAAAACAAAATCATACAACAAAGAATGACTATTCTAAAACATTTTCAGAGTTGCAAAAATTGTTGCTCTCCTTCAATGCCTTTAGCTCCCCCCTTAAAAACATAACACTAAAACAGTATCACTGGGTTCCTGGCATTTATTCCAATCCTGCAGCAGTAACAAAGCCCAGCTATGACACCACAACATGCACGGCATTTCTGACCAGATGGCCCAGCAAGACATGCATAGCAGCTGGCAAGACCTCGTTGAAAATGCTTTAATTAATAAACCAACAGCTTTGCTTCTGTCAACTGTTGACCATTTGGTTTGTGCTGAGAATGTTGTTGTTCAAGCCTTGAACACCAACATGCTCGGCACAAACCACCCTGAACACCACTGATGAAGATGCATGCCTCATTTCTTTTCTAAAATCCAGAGATGTTTTGCAGTTGATGACTAATGCATATTTAAAACACATGAGCCAGAGCTTACTGTCTCAAATTCAGGCCTTGCTTTTTCAAAGGTAGGAACTCGTGTAAGAGCTGGAGACTTGTTCGATTCCTCGTGTACCAAACTTCATAGCTGTTGACAATATATGGACCAAAAAAACATCTACAAATCTTTGTGGTTGCATGAACAGCACCTTTTACAAAAGGTTTTAAGAATGAGGACCCCCATTCATTTGGGGTTACTGACAATCGAGCTTCTGCCCTCATTTGCCCTTGAAAACAAGACCTGATAACTCAACTCTTTCAGATCACCACTGCAGCTCAATAACATGCTGTTTTTGCATCTAGCAATTGGTGGTTTCCCCCCAACAATGATGGGATTGTTCTCCCAGAGACAAGTCTGCCATACTCCCCTCAGGGTTAGGCACAAAGAGCAGTCCCAACCTCAGAAGACGCTACCCAAAATTAGCCACAGCAGGAAACCCTTCTGGGATATGCCTTGCGCTACAGTCCATGAGCGTACTGCACCCCCACCCAAACCTCTGCTGGTTCGCCTTCAAGCGCACCCACTGCAAAACAAAAAGTCACCTGCAAAAACACACCGCCCCAACGACACAGAATTCACAATCAGCACTCACATAAACATACAACTTCACGAGGCTCTCAAACGCATGAAAAGGAAAATACACCAACCCTTCAAAATCAGGCAAGCCAAGATGTATTTAACCAGCAACCTAAGCCATGATGTGAACTGCTGGTAGCATGTCAATACCCATGTTAGGAGCTGCGGATGGGACCCCTGTGCATGACCAGCCTGTAGGTCCAACTAAGAAACACAATACTTTTCAATACTAGAGTTTAATAACATACTAGGAAAAGCATCGCTGTACTCTCGCCACCCCATGGTCAGTCAGCTGGAAGACCTCAAGGTCCTGCACTTTCACCCTGTCCATCAGGTCGCTGTCAAGTGTTTAACCAGATGGCCACCTCAGCTGCAGGAGGGTCCTGAAGTACCATCTGTTTATGACTGTGGGACAATGAGCACAGGTGACCACACCAGCCGAAGTCCCCTTTCAGAACCACCTTACTCAAGCGCTCTGGTGTCAAGAGTGCCGAGTTTGAGCATAAAATCTCTCCGCCACTGAAATTTCATCAAGGAAAAACGCGTTAAGAAGGCACTGCAGTTTTAAAAGCCGGGATGTGCTAGTTTAAATGCATGCATTTGATTGGAAAAATAAGGCTAATGCTTCTGCAAGTTACAGCATTAAACCTACCGAGCTGTACAAACCACACATGGGGGGGGGTCTTTACAACATAAGTATCAATTAGTAAAACAATCCTCTTAACACAGCGGCGTGCAACCCACCTCTGGATCAGAGAGATACACCTCAGAGTGAACAACAGCAATGACATGTTTATATTACACGTTTATTATCTCTCCAGTCAATCAGAGGAATGTAAATCAAGCTGAATCGCTATCAGATGGGGATTCGGATGCCTATTGACTTTCAAGGATAACAAAAGGCAGATCCTGCACAATGTAAATTAGACATGCATAAAATCAAGATAGTAAAACTTAACGACTTCTATACTGCATGTGCCTGGAAAGCAACCCCTTAAACTGCATCTCTATTTTTTACCGAGCTCGGTGAAGGGCACTTGATGAGATTTCAGGAAAAGTCAGGACTGCGGCAGCGCAGGACTGCGACGGACTGGAAACCACAGGAATGTGCTGTTAAACTTCACTGAAAAAGTCATGCTTTCATCTCACAGGCATTTCAGATGGTGAAATACTAACGATGAAAAAAGAACAGATCTCAGTGTTAAAAACTAGGATAACAGTATATACATACACTCTGTCACAGGGTAAGAAATCTGTGCAAGTCGAGAGCTAATACTTTTGCTTGTTCAAAACACACTAAAATGCCAAAGACGACAGTTTCTGGCTCTGTTACAGCACAGAGAACCTCAATAAATACCCCATTTCTTTAGGCACAATGAAGCAGATATGAATAAACAAACAGGTATAGATGATTTTTAGATGTAATTATGATTGCTCTTAACAAATGCCAGTACTGAATGGAGGTGCAATTTAAACTTGCTCTACTTAAATCTGTACAATCAATCCACAAACTGTTTTAACAAAGAACATGAAAAATATTTTCCTTTCATAATCCTACAAGCACAGGAATCTATCAAAATGGCACAGCGTGTACCAGTTTTGTGCAGAAAAATCCAACTATTTTCTAAAGTTAAAAAGTATTATGCTTAATGTTTAAATTATCCTATACTTTTCTCCTACCGAGTCCTACACAGATAACTCAGAACAAGCTTCACTTATCAGCTACTCCAACTCAACCATGCAGTACATAGTTCAAAATAAGATGACAATACTGAGTTTTAGTGGAAAACCCATTTCCCCCATCACTGCTGCAGAGAGCAGCCATGTAAATTCTCAAGATGCTACGTTCTCAACAAGAATCTGAGAAATGCTTTAACTACCTGCTGGAGAGGCGTGGCATCAGAAAACTACCTTGCATCAATGACACTCCCTGCTAGCTCCGGGTAGATCATTTACAGTAAGACGTTTTTTATTTCAGTCTCAGTCGTGTATTCACCATATTCACCCGCTTTTACACTATGCTGCATGCGACGAGTTTAAAGTGGCAACATTTACAACTCAAATTAAAAAAATGAAAGGAATAAAGGCATTACACAGCTACCACAACCTTTAAAAAACCACCTGTTAGCTGGGGGATCATGAGTTGGGAGTGCAAACTACTTGAAGTCTAAAGCTTATTCTGTTCACCCGAATGAAACACTTCAAAAAGAAATTTACCAATTATGGATATTTACCAATATCCCAGACTTTGCACAACCTTATTTAGAGTCTGAAATAGGTCCTGTAGCCAGTGAAATGTGAAAAGACAACATTCCTTGCTCTTATTTTGTAACTACATTTGTGATTTTTATCCCCCCTCCCACCCCGTTGAGCTCACAAAAAAGACGTTTCATTGCCAGCAACTACTGCTGCACGCTGTATGGCTGTGCATTTGATAAACTTTGATTGCAAAAACAGGACAAAAACAATCCTGAAGTATATGGACTCTAATGCACTAAAACTAAATAGTGTAGCCACAACAAAATCAAAAAACAAACATCTAAACCACCTGATTGGTTTGGTGAGATTTTGTAAACAAATATATCACTTGAACAACCCATGTTAATAGAACTGCACCTCAGTTCAGGAGTGACACCTGCTTCATAATTCTCAGGGATTAAATGAGTTCCGGTTCAAAGCTTTGTACTTTGACCTGGAAGAGTTTGCTACACATACAATCTCTTTTCTTGGAGCCTGACCAAACGCAGCTTTTCCTAAGCTGGGCGCCGTTATCTTCCCAGTCTACCTCCCAAACTCATGTCTTTCTTTTTGCAACTGAAGAATAAAGTAAAATCTCTGTGCTTCTCCTTCCTCCCCACTTTTCCCCCACTCATGATTACACCCCTGTATCTTCCAGGTTGGTCCACTTCGACCCGTGTAAAAAAAAAAAAAAAGCAGGAGTCAGTACGTTATCAGAGCACGATGCTTTATCTGCACAGACAGAAAACGAAAGGCATTTCACCCTGCCAAAGAAAAGAGCACAGGAGGGGGGAGCCCAGGGGGCCATTGTTTTTGCCCATTCCGATTTGCACACTATTGTCACAATGAGCTACACAAACACCAGGCAGGAGTGGGAGATGGTGGCGCTACGTGCAACGTTTTGAACTGGCGCAGCTGACTCAGCCTATGGGATCCCCCTAATGCACAGGGATCTGGATGTGCTTGCACCAGCAACAGCTGAAGTGACCTGGCTTTGCCCAGCTTGTCTAGCCAATAAAAATAAACCTAGGAGCAATTTACACTTAAAAAGGGAAAACTGATCGGATGCAACGAGATGGGGGTGGGGGGAAGAAAAGCTTACCTGTTTTGCTTCTCTTCAGCTTCTTTGGTGGCTACAGCTTCCAATTCTCTAAGAAAAAAAAACAAGGAAATGGTCATCCTTTTAAATACAGAGCGCTGGGATCACCGAGTCCACGTCCACCAGAGCCAGCGCTGTGAACACGCAGACCTGCTCACACACCTCGGACGAGTTTCTAGAATCGTCAGTGCAGCGCCAAACAAAAACGTGTCCGCATCGGCTTACAAAAACCATCGCTTTCGGGGCAAGAGACTTTAAAATAAGATCCGTTAGCGCGTTTGAATTGAACAAATCGGACTTCCTCTCGGTTCCTGTACAACTAGCATACGCAGGAAACGACACATTGGCGTGACACCTCATACACAGCTACACTCAGGATATTTGCAAAAAAAAAGACGTGCTCGGTGAAATGAAAGGGATCAGTAATTATGGCACATTTGTCTTCTCTAGAAAACCGGCATTTGTGTTCAGTTTAAGTGACTGCATATACAACACGGCTGGGTTTGATATAACCCAATCCTAGTTACAATATGGTGGAAAAACAGCAGACGACTAATTATTGCTAATCTAATTATGAAAGTTTGCAGGAGTCGCCAAACACAGCCGTAACGAATTAAAACGTAGATCGCTGATCAAAGCGACACAAAAGAAACAACGAAGTGAAAAGTCCTATCGCAAGGTCACTGAAAATATCCCCCCTCATTCAATTCACGATCTGCAGCAAGATCCGGAGATGAATTGGCGATGCGAGATGAGGATGGCAGGAACACACACACAAAAAAATTGCAATAAAGGGGAAAATCTTAACCATTTTTAAAAGGCAAGCAAAAGAAAAAAAAAATCGATAAAAGAGCAATTTCCATCGCAGGCAGTTAAAATCGATACAACGCCGACCTTGTTTTCCTTCATAAAAGCGCGACTCCCACAATAGCGGAATAAATTCACGGCTCTTGCAACGTTTCCAGTCGCGGTCCAAACTGCCCAACTCGCACCGGAGAAGCCAGATACGACCGCTGCGGCGCAAAATCCCAGAACAGCCCATAAATAGCGAGGGCCCCTGCATGACCGGTTGTTTTCACTATCATTGCACAGCCACACCAGGTTGTTAACAGCAACGCAACTTGGGTCGGAAACCGCAGAAAATAAACAGCGACCTACCGTCGAGATGTCGTTTAAAAAAAAAAAAAATCGGCGAAAACCCCAACTTCGAAGGAAAAGACGCGGCGCGTCAGCCCCAAGTCAAAGCGGCGACATCCGAGCCGAATGCGTTTCATTTTCTAGCCCAGGTCGCCAGGAGCACTGTTAACAAGCTGCGAGCGTATCGGGCTTTCCGCTGAAACCAGGCTCAGCCTTCGCCACTGCAAGCCAACTCCGGACATTTTAATCCCGAGAAATTAAAATACGGAACCGTGCAAAAGCCGCTTTCCAACCCGCCGGCCGCCACGGAGCACTCACCTCATGAATTTAAAGTGCAACAGAGTGAATGTGAAAGCAGTTAATAAGGCTACGGGAGTTCAATGTGTTTGCAGCATCTGGGAGAGAAGCAGTCACCCTGCACAGCCGCCATTTTCTTCACTCGCAATCTCCCCCCTCCTCCCCTGCCCGCAGGAAGAGGATGAGCGCGGCTCGCCGGACCACTTCCTCCGCCTGCCGAGCAGCGCGGCCCAAAATGGCCGACGAGGGGGAGCCGCGGCAATATTCAAGGCGAGAGCCGTGCTACTGTAACACGTGTGAAACACAATAGATTAATCTCGTCGACCCCTCCTCCTCGTCCTCTCTTCCAAAATATTTTAGGATACAATTTCAGTTCTCCTGACCGCCCATCTTGATTTCTTGAAGGAGTTATTGTTACTACTTGAACTAAGGATTTTTTTTTAGCTTTCTTTCCAAAAACAAAAAGCATGACTTTGTTTTTGGCTAAACGTAGCACCAAAATAAAAAAAGTGGTTGCTGAAGAAACTAAAGTGGGCTTTAATTTCCACACTGAACCTAGAGAGAAAGCACGCTTATTTTACCATTTACTCCAGTACTGACTCAAGGGACAATACAGTATTTCAGAAAAAAAAATCTCAAATTTGTTTTAATAAGTATGAGAGAAACTTGGAAATACAACACATGTAAACGTTTTCCTTTAAAATGTTAAATTGAGACTAATTACAAATAAGAGTTTCATCAATACTTTTAACAGATTTAAAAATCATAAACATCCATCTTACATTGGAGTTGATGTATATACTATGTGTTTGTAAGGATTTTTCTATTCATAAGATGAAAAAAGGATTTGGAAAACAGCACTGTAACTGAACAATCTTCGTTTCCCTCCACCTCGTGTTGAAAATAATGAATTAAATTCACTGAGACGATGCGCAGAGCAGTCTTCATCTCGACTAAAAAGGTGCAAATGAGCAATTTTTGTAAAGAGATATAATTATTGATGCACAGCTGCATGTGTCTGTGTTATTTCTCAAGGTGGCAAAATGTGTATTTATAAATCTGGCACCAAATCCCAGATTATTTTTTCTGCATGACATCCAGGGCACAAGCAGGGACTATGGTGGTGCAGTGGAAGAGACGTGGCCAACTGCACAGATATTCTGATTATCGTCATAAACAGAGACAAACATTCTGTGCAACAGAGCAATTCGATAAGTACGAGTTCCTAACAATACACATGGGGATTAGAAAGTGGAGCACAATTAACAGAAAGGTACTCCTGGGTGTTTCTGAGGCAGATACTCTCGCCTGAATCATGTACTGAAACAAACTGATTGCAGTACTGTATTTATAGAAAGATTTGTGGTATGTATACCGCATATTAACATTAATAAACATGAGATTCTGCTTTATAACAAAAAAAACTCTACAAAAACCTATGTTAAACTGATTTTTTTGTAATTTTTAATTTATTCTATGGACACAATGTATTTATTGCTTAATTTGAAGTTCATGAGTATTATTTTTCCTGACTGAACATTCTCAGTGCATTCGTTTGTAACAGGTGCAATTCCAGATTTGAACTTTTCTCCTATTTATACAAATGGTTTACTATCTTTGCCCACAGTTGCATCATCATCCAAAATGTCAGATTTTAAGATGTCCCAACAATAAGCCAATAGTTTTTTTACACAGAGTGAATGTTGCACCATCTTGCTTGTTTGCTTAATCTGAATCCTTCCTAATTGGCCCTTCTCCCCAGGGGAGACATGTTTAAATACATTTAAATGATCGATGTAATGCATCTCAGTTCAGTTACCAGTCATTGTGCAGTCACACGTCGTGGACCTTATCATCCGATTATTTATAGCCACAATGTTTTTAAGAAGTTCTGTGGAACCTCGCCTCCACTGGGCTCTGGGGTTCAGTTCCATGCTGGGATGGCTTCTCCGTGAACTCAGCTTGTTCTCCCTGAAAATATACGGGTTTGCTCCAGGTTTCCCCCCTGGTGTGGGTGCGTGTGTGTGTGCCCTGGGATGGATGGCGCACGGTCCTTCGTGTAATCCCTACCCGTGCCGGGCACTCCCGAGGCTGGCCCTGGGCTGTCACAGCCCTCGCCACCAACGACATCCTCTCCGATGGTAGACGGGCTTTCTCAAAATCGGGGCCCCCGCCAGTGTTGAACGTTTTCTCTGTTTTGGGGGGGAAATGAAGATGCTTTTGGATTGAATGAGGACCATACATTGTTTAGGCTATGTGTTCCCCCAGAACATGCTGGCTGGGTTTGATGGGGTTCTCTAAATTTGATGGCTTTGATGTGTGTTGCCCTGAGATGGATTGTGCCCAGTCTGGCTCAGCACGGCCCTCTTAAGGATGAAGAGGGTAACAGTGACAGAAAGATGCTTTGTGGCTGACAAATAACAGCCCTATCGTTTGTGACAACAGTGAAACAGCACAGTGACACAGCTAAGTGCACATCCCTCTTTATGTGCCTGAGTAGTTCATACTGTACAGTATACAGTCAGGACTCCTAAACGTTATTCTACATATCCAATACACAGGCATCCGAGAATTCATTCGAATCAGCTTGTATGCAGGGGTGATCTTGAATTTACCAAGCTCCTAAACATATGACACACTGTCAAGCAGGACCGAATACCTTAATCAGTTTCTAAGGCTTAAACAAACTGCCCTCATTCAGTTTTCTGAAGAAAACATTTTTTTAGTTTATTTAAATGACAATTGAGTTTAACAATGTAGTCAGTTCAACACAGTCCTAAAAAAACTTAATAGACTATTTTTAAGCATTCCTACCAACTGCTGTTTTTCTTATCTATGATAGATAGGGAATCTGGTATTTAAAACTATTCCACGATGTCTTTGTTCAATGCATCACACAGTGTATTGCTGTACATTTTCCATGTACTCTGCCCCTATTCCCTTGCTCCTGCTAAAATCGTGATATTCCTAGCATAACTCAGGCTTGTTCTATTACTCCTGTCTATGAGCTCTTAGTTGTATTGCACTTGTGGCATGGGTGTGCGTTAGTGTCCTCAACCAGGCAGACACCTATGTGGAGCTGATGGGCCACACTCATGGGTCTTCCTGTCTGAAACTAATGACATCATACAAGGACTGGGGAAGGCTCACAAGTACCTGGGAATCCAGGGTCCCGGGTGGCTCACAATGCATTCATTAAACCACTATTTCAATTATCCACTTGTAACTGTAACAGTTTATATTAATTTTATTGATCCTCCACAGTTCAGAGCAATCTGACAGATGATCGAAGGAAAGCACACTTTAAAGATCTGTTCTTATTCTGTGGGTGTGAGGCTTAACTTTTTGTTGTGTTTGGAAAAGAGTATTTTTCTCTTTTGAACCTATTTTTATATCTCTGTAAAAGAGCCCTGTACATGTCTGGATCTCGGGGAAGCTGAGGTTACCGACGATGGGAAGGTTCATTTGAGTTCGCTCTGTTCACAGGATGAGAAGACAACTTTCCTATTCCATCTTGCCAGAAACTGGCCTTTCTTTGCAGCTCTCAATTCAATTGTGGAAAGAACAGTAAGAGAAGAAAAAAAAACGGCCAAGTTCCACAAAGAGCTTTGTATGAG